CAGGAATTAAAAACAGCCTTCTTTCATCACATCCACCTGTGGTCATAAACAGTTTTTGCACAGCGCCACCTGACCCACACGATAGTCCCTGCAGGGGCAGAGGCGCCGGAATGTGTCACTAGAACCCGCGCAGCTGAACAGCAGCGGGTCCTGCTGCAGCAGACACTCGGCGTGTTTGGCAGCGAAGGCCGGGAAAAGGTGGTTCTTCTCCGACTCCAGTCCTTCACACTGGAGGTTCAGCCTGGAAGCAAAGACAAGGCAGGAGAACTCACTTCACACTGGAACAACAGCTCTGTTAAAGGGTGTTAGCTGTAATCCTGCCGAAACAACACAACACTGTGTTCAATATGAGCGTCAGCAGGAGAACCGGGGGGCGACCGGGGATTATTCCATTAATGTGTTTAATATTTATGCCACAGTGAGGCCTCTGGGACTGAAGGGAAACACGTTATTTCTGCAAATACAAAAAATATGAGAAGGGTAAAGTCACAGTGTGGGTGTGAGATTTTTTGGGGATGTGGAGGGAGGGGAGACGTGGGGCAACAATTAGTTTATGTTCCCCTGAGAATTCACATGAAGAGGGTTGAAGGGGTATTCAGTGAGAAGTCGCCATATTGGATTTTTTTTTTTCACTAGCTCCGGTTGTGTTTGAATGATAGACGAAGGCGACTTTGCACAGAGGCGACACTTCACTTTGCCGACCAGATTTCGCTAAATCAACCATAGTGTTTAGTCCCGTTTCATTATCTTTCATTGAACAAAAGGCTAAAATTTTCATAATAGGAAAATTATAGAATGTAGAAACATCACAAGGAGGAAAATCCAACAAATGGTGACTGAGGGCTGAACAATAGCAGCTAATGAAAATGACAGTTCTAACTCTCTTTGCCTGTGGATACAGATTAAATGCAGGATACTCACGCGCTGAAGGCCTCCTTAATGTTGATGAAGCGAAACAAGGCAGGTTCACAGATGAGCCCCGCGCTCTGACAGGTCTTCACACACGAGTGGCCCTCCTGTGAAGCCAGGAGCTGCAGAGCACTGAGGGGGGGCCAGGACTTGACAGAGCTGGTGTTGAAGGCCCAGGTTAGCACACTGGAGTTTGGTAAAAGAGTGAAAGGTCCAGGCTGCACGGCAGGCCACGTCCTGGATGAGTTTAACGGAGGAAACGGAGCTTCAGGAGAACAAAAGTCCTGCAGGTAGAAAGAAAAGAACAGCTGAAATCGGCAGTGTTTTTAATGGACACAGACATTCAGGTGAGTGAAAATAAAACATTAGACTGAAGTAAATGTAGCCGACTGTGGAGAGGTATTCTGGTCATCTCATGCAGCAAATAAAAAAACAATTTGTTCCAGTGAAGGGTGCTTATCCTAATTGACAAGTGCTCTCACCGCTGCCCCGTGATAAGAGCATGAATGCAGCTACAGCCACTGATAATAAATGACATTTGCAGTTAAAATGAGGCTCTGCTGAAAGACCACATTAGCGCCACCTCCAGTCCTGTATATTCAACAGGCTCAGGAACTAACTACTGATATGTTTATAAAAATATAAGATAATTTTTTTATATATTTTTTTCAAACTGAAACCAATCACAAACTCACAAACTTCCCCCCCCCTTTTTTTTTTGCTTTTAGCTGCTATATAACATCTCCTTTCAAATGTCAGACTTTTAAAATAGATTTCCCATTTACTGCCTGTGAGGTAATCGTAAATTATTGATTTAAATTCCAGACCGTCCCTTTTAAAAATTGACCGCATTGCAGAAAATGGTTAAAATGAAAATGAGTCTCTTCCACTGGTCACAGCGGGACAAGGAGAAGCCGACAGGTGAGGAGGCTGCTCTGCTCCGTCACGGTGGGAGAAAAGATATGAAAACGGGGGCAGGTTAGGAAACACTGAGGAAGAGGAGTCATGTCGAGAGGCCGACCTTGGACACACCGGGTGGTCAGTGGGAGTTGCCGGTGGCTAGATGAGTTCGTGCATGACAGCAGGGGACGTTTTCTCCACAGCAACAAATACACAGATGTGCAGCAGCAGCAGCAGCAGCACAACATCTGTCAGGGCTGGTGTGGCTGTGGGATGTGTGCCATAATAAGAGTCAGATTTCTTGAATTACTGTTTTTGTTCAAATATAGGTGTAAAATGTTGGATAATGGTCCGTTTCTATATGAGCATTTCATTTGCCATGCCGCCGTCAGCCTGGCTGAGCAGCATTTGTAAAAAAAACAAACAAAAAAAAAACATATCGCTGCGCTCCGCCATATAGTCACAGCCAAGGTTGTAATTAATTGCTTCCCGATGCCTTGTTCCAAAGGTGTAAACACTGTGGCCAGACTAGTCATCAAATCCAGGAGAGTCTGGATTCTAGTTGAGTTTACAGTAAATGATGTAACATGGACACATCTATGTTTTAAAAAACAATTCTAAAAAATATATACTGTATATACCTCACAGTTTTCCTTTTTAATATTTCTGAAATTTGGATTATGCAAAGAAATAAAGAAAAAAGAAATAAATTAATACATAAATATATAAAATACATATTCATATACACACACATTTAGGTCTACATATATATATATATATATATATATATATATACACAGTATATTACTGTAAGTTATATTTATAATATAAACCCCATACTGTATTTAATGCAGTTTTTATCACCTTTCTTATTCACTGTCTGGGCTGAAAAAAACCTACAGACTTTTTCTCCACCAAGTTCCAATAGAGCTTCATTGGCACAACCTTTGCTCTTTAATAAAATTCTCCAGAATTCGGCTTTAAATCTTTTCTTCTGGGCTTTATAACGCAGGCACGGGGCCAAAGTTATTCACACTCACTCTCCATTCGGCTGCTTTGATGCCAGTCTTGAATTCCATCTCATTTGTTTGCAAATACAGTGACGGGGTCAAGTTGTACAAAAAGAAAAAAAAAATCGTCTCTGGTTCAGTATCAAGTATGCAGGCAGTTCAAGGTTTGGCATGTACATCTGAGCTGCCATCTGTAGCGGTGAAAGAACCTCTAACCACAGAAACTGGACCGACAACAACTTTTGTTTTCCTGTTTAAACAGAAACTGTTAGTAAGTGAAAAATATGCCCACAAGGTGGCAGTAGTGCCACTGAAAGTGAAGGATAACATCGTTAACATTTTTATTAGCATTTTGATTGATTCGGTTTAGGTCAAAACGATTGAGATTCATGAATTTTCTGCTAGCACATCCGAACTTATGGACCAGTGCCTTCATGCTGTTTATAGCACCCCCTGCAGGGGTGGGAATGGAAACACTTCTTCACATTCAACATTCACGTTTTTTCTTCTCAGTTTGTTCTAGAAACACAGTTTCCAAAGGAAAAAAAAAGAACATTTTCAGTCCAACTTTAACACTATGTGACAAGAGCAGTTATTTAAAATAAAAAAAATAAAAACATGTCAAGGCCGACCTGGTTCTGAATGTAGGCATGAACTCTTTCCAGCATCCCCTCACAGGTGTACTCGTAGGGAAGGAAGGGTTCAACCTGCCGACACAGATGACAACACAGATTAAGAAACGGGGGAGGAAGAGAGAGAATGACTACACATCTGTTAATCAATGCTGACACATTCATTAGTGTAATTGTGAAAGCCTTATATCATGCCACCAGCCTCACATTAAAATCAATGACCTCGTACATCACTTGTGGCAGCTTCGTAAATTGATTTCTTCATTTCTACCGACGACTCCGTAAAGCACGTCAACAAAGTGGTGACCTGAGAGTGACCCACAGGTGGAGCTGGAGCCAGGAACGCTGCAGGTGGTTCTGGTACTGTTGCTTAGTACTGCAATCCACTGAGAAAACACTGATGAATCGGTTTTTAGTTCTCTGTCGCCGGGGCGAGAAACGTTTCCTGCTGGCGTAATGCAGATCTACGAGGTCTCGCGAGTCACATTTATATTAATTATTCCGTGTTTATATCTCATTGTGTTCTGACGACATCAATAATTATGGAATCCATCAGGACAGAAAACAGTTTGTCCAGATCCCAGAGCGGAGTCCCTTCTGAGCGTCTCCCACGGTGGATGAAGTGAGATCTCAGCGTTTATTATGAGGCCGCTGAAGCGTCGGGGGCTTTTAAACTGATAAATGGTTCCTCTTAGTGTTGTGTTCCTCTTAGCATTTCCTTATTACTTTATTTCATCTGAGTTTAATGAAATGTATCTGGCACTTCATCAGCTATTCTGCTGTGCAATTTGCCTTTTGGGCATCTTTATATAATAGAACCCAAGTGTTTGAGAGGAAGGAAATTAATAAATAAATAAAAGCCTGCATAGATGGTGATTTGAATTCAGCAGTTGGTGAATATTTAAAAAAAAAAAAAGAAGAAAAACGTGCGTGTCTCTAATCTGACTGCACTGCTAGGCTGTAAAAAATATGTGAGCAAAATTCATTATTTCATGTGGTTATAGGTGAGATCGATAAAAACTGGGACGTCGCCCACGTTCCCGAGGCAAAAAGACAGTGAGAGAAAGTAAAGAGGCAGCGAAGTTCATGTCCTCGGTTGTGGTCCAGTCCTTCCGTTTCTTATTAATTGTCTTAGCTCTTGTGCAAAATGTATGTAGTAATTTAGTTTGAAAAAAAGGAGAAAAATGGGAATATCAAAGAACGAGACATACGGGATAATGTATCATTTTTATGCCTCAGTGATGCATTCAGATCTGAACAAAACTACGAGTAAAGTGTTTTTTTTATTTTTTATTTCCTACATTAAAATACTATACTTGACTGGGCTTGAATGCAGTGCGCGTTAACATTTATAATATTTATATCTGTGTATATTAAATCAACATAATTTTTTTATTTAATAGTTTCTCTTAACACACAGTTATTCATGTTTTTCATGAACAAGCTGAAAACCTGGAGTCTATACTTGGCAGATAGAGACGCACGTGAATCCCGGCACCAGCAGAGGATCTTGGCTCGCTGCTCTGTTGTTCTGGTGACAGATTGAGCGCAGCGTGATCGATTAATATGATCTGTGGCAGACAACGTTCACTGACTGCTGCCTCGGCCTCTGGAAGGACGCCAGGTAAACCCAGGTGTGTGAATAGTCCAGCTACTACACAGTAGCTGCTGAATGTCTGTGGCAATTAGCATCGCAGTGAGCGGTGAGCGGTGAGCCAGCTAAGCATTCTGCTCTCATATGGAGTTGCCATGATTAAGAGCTCTATTAAGAAGCACAGGGCTTCAAATGTAGGTCAGTCCACGTGAAGTATAAATCTAAAGAGTGCAGCAGCAGATTGTGGCTTCGCCTCAGCGGTAATGCAGCAGCGCGGACCGTGCTGTGTACGGGAGTATTATTTTTGCTGAGAGGATAGTGCTGAGTTTGGGAAAAAAATAAATAAAAAGAGAATTAACATACATCGATCTCCATGATCTGGCGGATGGTTGCATCAAACTCTTCAGTGTTATTGAAGTCGATAGTGATGACGTGCGGTCGGCCGATGTACTGCTCTGCGTAGGGATGCTGAGAGGCACCTGAGGGAGAAGAGGAGGGACATGAATTCACACTCACTCACACTCAGTGTGTATTCACACTCGAGGGGACGAGCCGGCAGGGATTTTACTCGCTGCAAAGTCCAATCTTTAAATAATGTTAGCCCCCCCTAGGGGTCCAACTTTAAATTTGTGCACCTTCCTGGAGGTGGGCTTTCCTCTGAAGAAGTCATGGTTGAGGGAACTGTGAGCGGGGTTGAACCTGGGCTGCAGGAAGATGCAGCCGTTGGCGATGGCCTCCAGGGGAGCAGGGCCCTCGTAGGGAAAACCAAAGCCGATGAAAAGCTGGACAAGAAAAAGAGGCCACGGAGAAGGTGAAGAAAAAGAAAATAAGGCTGGATTCAACTTTTCATAACTGCACCTGAAACGACTCACCTTAGCCTTCCTGAGAAGCTGCTGCAGCTCACGCTGAGGCAGCAAACCGTGGTTCTTGATAAAAGCTGGCACCTCTGGTGGCCGCTGCGTCTCATAGTAGACAGTTCCATGTATCTCCATGTACTGATTCAGGATGTGGAGGATCTTTTCCTTACCCTTGAGTAGAAAATGGATGACATTATGACAGCCTGAATGTTCCCGCAAATGTTGCTACATGAGAAAAAGGAAACATATTTTCTGCAAATGTTGTTTATTTGGCATTTATAAAGAAAAAAATATTAATTATATCTCTACTGAATACATTTGTTAAATACTAACTCGACCATAAAGAGCAAAAGTCCAGACTTTTTTTATCTTGAAAACTAATGCTTATGCTATTTTTTACCCATTCTTTTTAAATGAACAAGTGAAAAAACGCTGTTTCAGAAAACGTTTAGTGAATAATCTGATAAGAATTTTACTTTAATGCGTGTGTGTGTGTGTGTGTAATGAATGTGTATTTTGAATTTTATACCTGAAAATGATCAGATGATTCTACATAAAACTACTACTGTATCAGATACAATTATACTACCAAAAACTGCTTCTCATAGATTGTTTTAAAGTTAAATTTGGCTGAACAAACTCCCACTGCAGACAAAAGCCTTGGTCATTATTGTATTTCAATAGGAGGGATTTCAACCTCCGGGGAGAGCAGCACAGCCGTATCATGGCAGACTGAACGCTTGCTGTAAAGCCCCAGTGTTAAACTCCTGTCTTTGTTCCCAGCTGGACTCAACTCTTGGTCAAAAAAGAAATAAAGAAGCAACAAAAGGAAAAGTAAACAGTTGAAATTTAGTCATGAAGCAGCGGCACAAAAACCTCTGCTGCACCAGCCAAAAAAAAAATAAAAAAAAATACTGTGGCTCAACCACTGGGGGTGTTTTGGGTGGGAGAAAAAGGGTTAGAAATATTCCGCTCCTATCAAGATTAACCTGATTATTTTGGCGACTACACAGAAAAAAGAAAGATAAAAGTTTGAAGGAGAAACATTTCTGAGGATCAATATACAGTTTATAGAAAATATGTAGTATAAACATGACTGAAGAATAACAAAAATGATGGATTACTCTGGATGAAGATCCTTCAGGATCGATAAATAATAGCAGTGAGAAGCAGCCGTACTCGTACTCACTTGAAGCTGTGTGGAGAGCGAACACACGGGAGGAGCACGGGTACAGGGTGAGTGCATGAACAGGAGGGCAGTGATTGAGAATGGGGGAGAGATGGGTGAGGAGAGAAAAAAAAACAGACAAGACTTATTAGTCATTTCGGGTACAGGGTGAGTGCATGAACAGGAGTGATTGAGAATGGGGGAGAGAAAAAAAACCAGACAAGACTTATTAGTCATTTTTTTCCCTCAAGGGTCATTTCACATGAAGACCTTCAACCTGCGCTCAATGAAAACACATTAATTCCTCGGAGAAGTTCAGACTCAGAAGACCGATATTCCAGAACCACAGATACATCCTCAATAGGATGTGGAACAGAAGCGGTGGAAGTGCAGGAATGAAAGCTGTAGCTATATTTAAGTGGAGTAAACCTTAGAAGGTTACTGCTGCTGCTGCTGCTGCTGCATCACACTTGAAAGTAAGAGTAAAAAGACAGGAACGCCTTGCCAGCAGCTTGGAGGCAAAATTTACTCTGAAACAAAAGCGATTGTTTCTGCATCTTCACACCTTGGGAGGCAATCCTAGAGGAGTTGTTTGGATGTGTAATAGCGAGTGGGTGTTTCACAGCTAAGCTACGTGATATTCAAATGTCCTCCAGAACCTTTTTTTTTTTTTTTTCATTCTTTGTTTGTCACATTTTTCTCCAACATAAATACAAATAATCTGAGCCAACGGTTTCCAAAGTGTGGGTTGCATTTCTCCTGAAGGGCGCCAGACCATTTTACAAGGGAAAAATGCAGATGATGTAGACCGGGGTTTGTCAAACTCATTTTTGTTCATTTGGTTGATTAGATATGAAGTACTGTACATTAGAAAATATTCATATTTTCAAAAAATCATGAACATCAAGTGTTGTGCAATTTTTTTTTCTTTAAAAAAATTCATCAAGTGGGCTGGATTAAACCCTCTAACGGACTGTTTTTTTGGCCCGCAGGCCTTATGTTTGACACCCCCGATGTAGACGTTAGAGTGGGATGTACTGACCTTCCACATGCTGGCTTCTTTACCGTACACCACAGCCATATTGTTCACCTTGTTCTTCTGAATTTGCAGCCTCTCTGTCTCATTCAGCTCATCTGCCACGAAGCCCATAAAAGAGTTGTCTGGAGTGTGAGCTGCCAAGAACGACAAAACAAAAATAAAACAATGGGTAAATAGGATATCAGAAAAAACAATTCACAAAACTGTATGAATTCTTTTTAAAAAGGGTGATGCCTGTAGGATCTGTCCACATCCAAACAGCAGGAACGGTTCTGACACTTTTTTATCACTATGTCATTTGGAAATGTTCTTTCATCAAGGCCAACTGTAGGAAAAAAAAAACCCAAAACCTTCTTCTCACACCGACTTCATTTTATTTGTTGAACAACAATGGATGTGTTGACCTTGGTGCAAAAAACCCCAAAACCTCAACACGTTTTTGGTAACTGGTCTTTTTTGACTTTTTAAATCATTTGTTGGTATTTGTTGGAGGATATTGGCAAAACATTTCCTACATGAGTTTATGTATTTACTGATACTTTTTTACTGGTAGTTACTATGTACTATTTCTACTCTGGTAATAAACCCATCTGCTCAGTTTGAGCCAATACTCTATAAACTATATATAATTAAAATGATTAATTTGAATTTCTATTCAAATATATATGAGAAATATCAAATGGTCTGTGAGTGTGGTCTGTAGACGCCTCTCAACAAAGGGTCTGTTTTTTTCTGGCAGTAAATTTCCAAACCCGAGATGAAAGCCGGGCTGTCGGTGTTGTGTTCGTGGTCTCCCTTTGAAATCAGCAGAGGCGACTTATTGTCAGCTAGTTATCAGAGAATTATTTTCAGCATCAGAGGTTTTTTTTTCTCCTGCCAACGGTTTCATCAAAAGCACCGTGATTACATTTGTGTTTGTGTGTGTGAAGCCACCGGTGTCAGACCACAGTCGGTGGCCTCGGGCATCTGTTCAGACACAGCTGCCACCAAACAGAGCCGCGTCAGGGTTGGTTTCCAAAAAAACAAAACAAAACCGAAACCTTTCTTTCTGTGACGGCCCTGAGGATTTCGTGAGCTCCGACAATCTGTTCACAAACAAACAAACACGGTAGCAAAATCAACATACGGAACATGGTCATGTACTGCTGGCCGTGCAGGTTCCAGTAGCCCCAGTTGGTTCTGTAGCCGTGCAGCGTGGCGTATTCTTCGTGGTTGTAAGCAGGCTCAGTTCCAAAGGTGTCAATCACTCGTATGTGGCACCTGGGACAAAATGAAAACACACACACACACAGAGCTGTTTTACACCACATCAGGTGTCAAATAAACCATTCAATCACCACAACAACAACAGAGACCTTCATTTTCCTTAAGCTGCTACATTCAGGGGTCACCACAAGAGGTCATCTGCCTCCATCTCACCCTGCAGAGCTCTTCAACCTTAAACCCTAATAGAGCCATTTTACCACCCTAATTAACACACCTTCTCAACACATGTTGGCTGTTATATAGTCAGTCAGTCAGTCATGTACACACACATATATATATTTATGAATATAATTCTCTAGCGTATCGACTGCTCCTTTTCTTTGTTGCCGATTCCCCAACACTCACTCTGTGAACTGTTGGCAGACTCCAATCTCGTCTTTAATCTTTCTAGTAGTTTCCTTTCTTATATCCTCATATAAATAATACATATGTTTTCAAACGCAGCTGTTTGGCTGTAAGAAAGACGATATTCTTGGTGTTACATCAGTGTACATTTGGGTGAGTTGTCTGTCAGGCTGTCAGTCGTTAGACTTTCACCAAAGTCCAGCTCACACCGGTCCAGACATGTTCCAGCCGAAACAGGGCTGTGATTTAAGCCCTTCGTCGTCGTCTCCCTCTGAGGCTCAGCTCAGTGGAGGGAGACTGGCAGCAGACGTGAATCAATACTGCTCTGTGAGATTTCCAACTGACTTCCTGCAACCGAGGCCGAGTCTTTGTGCAGTGGATGTGAAACTTTAAGTCCACTGCATTGCAAAATAAAAAACACTACAGAACAATTAGTCCGTGTCCCAATCAGTGCTGAATATTCACACTGAAAAGTGGGGGAAAAAAATCAATTAATTCAATCTGAGGACATTGAACTGTTATTGATTGTAATCAGCAGACGATGCCGTCGCCGTCCTCAAACCTCATCAAACATAACTGTTAGTAATAATCGCAAGAAGAAGAGAAAAGGGGGAATAATGATGGAATCTGGAGATTTTTTTTTTCTCCTCCATCTCAAACACCTCGTTGTTTTGAAAAGATAAACGGAGCGACAGTGGAATCACAGTTCCATTCGTTCTCTAATTGATCAGTATGTAAAAGAAGGCAAACAAATTTCCCAAAAGGGACAATTTTCTGGACGTATAGTGCAGTTAATGTTCTGGGAGGCAGGGGGGGTCTGACAGTGTGACCCCCAACCACTCAATAAGCCAATAAAGGTGCATTTCATCAGAAAGGCAATTAGTGAAGACCAAAAAAGGAGGAGAGAGCCTGGTAAACAATCAGACAGAGCAGCAGGACTGACTTGTGCCTCTTCAGTGACAGACCCATGTGCTGCTTCATTTGCTGCAGGCCGTGATAGTCGGTGTAGATGAGGTCAAAGGGCAGAGGTCCGGTCAATGGGCAGCTCCCTCTACCAGGCGGAACACCCAGGAACCTGCAGGAACACAAGCTGGATTAGAACCATCGTACAGAGGGTGTTTCCTGAAGAAGGGAGTTCGAACAACGACAAACATTGCCAGAAACAAAAAAACAAAAAAAACTTTTGCTGGCACAAAAATAAATCCTATTTTAAAGGTCTTACTGAGGAAAATAATTCATAGCAATTAGCAGAGTAACTGGTGAAAAAAAAACCTTTTATGAGCAACTTATGATAGAGTGGGTGTGAAAATGTCTCTATCTTCTGTACACTTGGTATAATCACACTTAAAGGGACATTTTCGGAAAAAAAATACAATTGTTTCGGGGACAGTTTGTCTTTGTGGAAACTTTTTGCAGGTCACACTGAGCGAGGAGGTTTAAGATTTACTTTGGAATTAGGATTAGAACTCAGGTAAGGATTAAGATTAGGCAGTCCACAGTATGTGAGGTGCTGACCAAATATCTTTATTTCAATGTCAGCTGACAAAGCAGTCAGTGAATAAACTAATCAGCTGATTACTGTGTTTCTACAGGTTAATGAATGTCGCAGACCCTCGCCCACCCCCCAAATGGTTAAAAATTACAATTACTTGACACCAATAACAAATCCTTCCTGAATGTCTGCTTTACCAGTTTTACTCCACCAAACAAAGGCAGAATGTTTCCTTGACTGAAGGCCTTCTCTGCACGGTCACAGAAAGGTGCACCTTTCAGTGGGTGACAGCTGAGAGACAGGGGAGACAGTACAGAACACGGGGGGCGGGGGGGAATAAAAGCAGTCTGCCGTCTCACAGGGACGACAGCTGAGACACTCAACTGGGCAGGCCCAGAATTCAGTGCCATCAGAGTCACTCAGTTTGTTGACCAATTTCATCTTCACTCAGGAAGAAAAAAGAAAAGAAAAAAAGCACATTACCAGAGATGAATCTCCTGTTCATTTCACCACCACAGGACTCTGGCAGATACAGAGATTGGCTGTTTTCAAGCAGTATAGCTGCACAAGTCATTACAGCAGCCCAACACACACACGCACACATGCATCTGCCACAGGCATGACTGCCACAGGCATGACACACACACACCTGTCTGCATGAAGTGACCGTAGCAGCCGTGGACGTAAACGAAAGATGAAGAAAAACGTTAACACGTTTGAATTTGTTTTTTTATTAAGAGTTTGTTCAATGATTGTATTCCATTAATTTAAAAACACATTCTAGTGCTCTAAATTGTACTTATAAAAATATAAATGTCTTACAAAAAAAACCCAGTGAGGTGTGTTTTTTCTGAAAATGTTCATTTTCTTGACGGCTCATCACGAGGATATAATGAAAGCTGTTGAAGATGTGTGAATAACGAGGATATAATGAAAGCTGTTGAAGACGTGTGAATAATGACAATTTTTAATCAGACACCTTTCAAAATTTTAATAATTATCTCATTATTATTAATGTATGTTGGAACTTTTTGACTCACGCTCAAGTATATTTAAAACCCAGACATAAAAACAATCCAAATTTGGAGCAACATTAATCTGGTCACAATGAACCACAGTGGTTCCCAAAGTCAGGGGCGTGTCCTCCTGTGGTGGGCAGTGATATTGCACTTTGGGTTCTCAGCTTTAAATTGGTGGCACAGTTTCACTGATTTGTAATTTCTTTTCTTTCTTTTTTTTTTGGTGAGATAATAATGGTTTTTATATAAAGTTCAGTGGAGTTTTGAAGCTCTATCTGTGAAAGGGGGATGGGAGGGCGCCAATTGTCCTATCTGCCAAAGGGGGGTGCTGCAGAAGGAGTTTAGTAAACTACTGGTTTACTGAGTTGGTGCAGTATTATTGAAGTACTGTCAGATTAGTTGTTACGGCCTCAGACAGTCGGACGGTGGAGCCCAGAGAACACAGCATGTGTTGAGGAAAGACTCAGTAATTGTTGCCTTTAGTTTTTTACTGCGGTCGGACTAATGATCCATGACCTTCTACTCTCTCTCTGTACCTTTCTGCAACTGGCTCCAAAACACATCTCACACAAACAGATAAAAAAATACAGAAAAAAACTAAAAAAACGTTCTAAACCAGAGACTTCATCGATCGTCCGTTGGGCCGGGAACATCTTCAGGCAGCTCTGCTGCAGCCTGGTGGAAACTGTCACGGCTTCCTGTTTCCTTACAACGCACGGGATAATGAGGCAGAGTGTGTGTGTGCTAAAGGTGATCCAAGCTGTGGTTTCATCAGTCAAACGTACACAACCCGACAAATCAGGGATTATACACAAACAAAGGGCTTTGTCTGATACGGTTTCAGTCTGGTAAACACAACACACTTCAGTTACAGCTTCACCACATTAGAGCTGGGCGGTGGGATTTATGCCCCCTAGTGTTGCTACGTGGAATCAGGGTTGGAAACATAGGTTCTAAAAGGTATTATTTAGTACAGTTTGAGTACAGTACAGAGTACAAGAAGTAAGGTATACTATAGTACTAGTAACAGAGAGATCAGTTTGCTGTTTCTCCCATTTTTATAATGTTGAGTTTGCAGATATGAGTTACTGTGAAATACTGCAGGTAAAATATATGAAATTAACTATTACAGATAATAAAAAAAACCTGTGAAAACAAGTGAATGATGTTGCACATGAAAGTGTAGATGTTGCAAATATTTTCTGGAGGATACTACAGGTATTTTATAGTTTAGAGTTAAAAACTTCCATCACTCATTTTAACACCTCTCATTTTAAAGTTTCCAGACTCCTGCACTTTAAAATTGCAATTTCTGGTCTAAAAATGATAAATGGTGGGGTCAGGATTTTTTTTTCTTCTTTTGAGATTCTCTGTTTTGTGAAATCCCCTGCAAAGCACTTTGATATTTGTCTAGTGTGAAAAGTACTGTCAAAAAGTTTGACAGGTTATTAGACGGACCAGCGTCTTCATCGATGCCTCTCCACTTTACAGCTGGAATAATACGAGAGCAGATGCATTACATGAACAAACATGACTCCTGTCTCCGCAGCTGCAGCGAGGCCACGGCCGTTTACAGGTTTAATTGGATATATGCAAATGCAGGGGAAACTCCAAGGGTAGAGTAAACGGATTAAAGAGCGCTAAAGGAGCAAAAAGGGAAGAAAGCTGTGCATACTGAACATATTTAATGGATGAATAAACATAAAGACACCACGTCTGGTTCAAACACATCCAGCAAACCAGAGACAGGACTGGCTGATTACTGATTACAGGCCTGTCTACAAAGACCAGTCTGTGATGTGGTAATCATAATGAATGAACTGCAGCAGAATCACATCTTCATAAGAATTATGGAGAGTCAGAATCTCATGTTGATATCGTGGGCATGGCTAATCATTTCCAAAATGAAACCGACTTCAACAAGGAAGTGAGTTGACATTTTTAGTTAAATGAATACAAATCTACCAACGTGTAGTTTAACACATTTAACGGTGACCGCTCATCAGTACTCTCTTTTTTTACACATTTAACGGTGACCGCTCATCAGTTCTCTCTTTTTTTATAATCATATCGTCACCAATCAGCTGAGTCATGAGGAGTGGAACGTCAATACGTTACAAAGAACAGTCGCAGTTTGATGACTGCTGTTGACTTAAAGAATTCAACACTCTGGAAATTCAATATTTGTGGAGCTTCAGCACCTGGTGACTACGACTAGACCGTAGAAGCACAGAAACCTGCCCCGGGGGTTGGGAACCAGTGAATCGTGACACCAAAGGGACATTAATTACTGTGTATTCAGGGATTTCCTTAATGGATCACGACTCATTTTACAGCCTGTGTCTCTGGACCGACCCGTGAGCATCAGAACTTTTGCTTTACAGACTTTTTCACAGTGGTTGGGCAATAATTTTGAAACGACACTGCATGTGGGTAAGTCAAAAAGCTCACACTCCCATTAAAACCTCTCAGGCGTCGGCTGTCGCCTGTGATGGGCTGTAAAATTACCGGCTGTTAGAGCTAACTTTCCAGAACTGAAAGAATTTGAAAGGAACTTTATTTCAGTCTTTAATCAGGCAAAAAAAAGATTCTGAACTTATTTCAGGATTCAATAAAGGAGAAAATTCTCCGTGGGAACACCAATTTCAGAACATTATACAACAAAGCAGAAGACGTTTAAAGAAAAGTAGTCTTGTTTTTTAAAATATGAAAAAAATATTCAATTAGTCTGATAACTCCTTGACATATCCAAATATATATTATTCCATTTTTGTAACTTTTTCCTCTCCTGTTATGATGAAGAAGAAATACTTTATTGCACTATAACTTTTTTGGACAATACTGTGAGTGTGGAGAGTTTGGAAAGATCCTCTTCTATTTAATCAAGGCTGTGCAAATGTACAGAGTTAGGTCCATGAAGACATGGCTGGGTGGGTCTGGTTCAGAAGAACTCCGGGGCTCAGCACGCAGCTCTGACCTCAATTTCATCAAACACTTGGTGGCATTAAACGCAGCAGGGATTTTGAGCTGGAGCCACTTTTCCAAAACTGGTCACTGAACTCGCAAATGTTATTTCAAATGAATGGGCGAGAATCCCCACAGAAACACTGTTCAGACTTATTTAAAGACCCCCCCCCCAAAAAAAAGAGGTCAGGCTAATATAAGTGTGACCCTGTCACCAAATAATGTCCAAGAAATACAGTGGACACTAACGTCCATCACTCTGTAAAACTGTAGAACCTGATTTAAGAACATGTTGTAGGTTACACCAGAATCTGAACCATTTCATTTTAGTTTGTGTAAAGAGTAGAGTAATATTTTCATATTTTTAGTCAATTACTAGGTGACCCCATTTCAATTCCAGGCCAACCCACATGGGACCGTAACCCCTAGCTTGATCACATGATCACTGAGGTCCTTGTACACATTTCAAATAAAAATACTGGCTTTTAGAAAAACTTTCAAAAGTTTGTAAACTGAGTCTGCTAAAGTGAGTGTTATATAAAACAACAAAGACAACAAAAGTAATCGTCATGTGTCGTGAAAAAAAAAGTTTGGTGTCAGTTCGAGGCCGACTCCAAACAGAAGACCACAGATGCACAGGATGTTCATACATTTCCTGACAGGTCTTGACAGCCACCGTCGGGCACACAGCTGACCACTGGCACCATGACAACTCGGATGTCTGCTGAAACACAGAGCCGCGGTCCTGAGTGCATCAGCGAGGAGGGACATAAATATCAAACAGGAAGGTGAGGTAGACTTCCAGGCACATCCTGGAGTCAGAGGCTGCGGGCTGAAGACGGGGCTCACAGTGTGATTGGCAGCGAGGAGAGCTGAAGCTGCAGAGCGTGTGCCCCGAGCCTGGCAGAGGGAGCCGGGTCTGGAATGTCAATCCATCACTTAGGGCAGCAGGAAAGTAGTGGAAGAAAAAGTCACAGGCTGTCACTCCGACTGTGTGTGTGACTTTGATCAAAATGCACTGATTCATCCATTTTGAAACAGCGTTGGGAGAATTATCTTTTTTTCATACAGTTTCATTTTGAAACAGCGTTGGGAGAATTATTATCTTTTTTTCATACAGTTCATACCATCGTGAAAACAACAAGAGCTCATTATTTTCTTTTTGGTCATCGAAGAAATGTACCAGTCTGAGGAAAGTAATTACAAAATCAACGGAGGAGTGAAAATCTTTCTCCTTAAATTCAAGATTTTGCAAACTCAGAGAAAGCCTTGTGGACAAATATACATTTTTAGATTTAATATATTGATATGTTTGTACTCTGATCTGATCTATTCTATTCATTAATTTTTCCCACTTTGGTCCACAATATTTTACTCTATCGGGGTCTGTACTGGCAAGAATCTAGGGATACGATACATGTTACTATACAAGGGCAATGATACAATATATTGCCATAATGGGCAATACTATAGGAATAGGTTTCATCAATTTTTTTTCTATACTTTATATATATATATATATATATATAATTTTATTATGCAGAGTGTCTCCAGAGGCACAAACAGATATTTAACAAAAACAAATTAAAATTAAAAAACATAACTGACTCTGATGGGGGAGAATGCATCAGGGTCACAGGGGTCAGAGGGTAAATAAGGCATATACCTATAAATAATGTGTTATGCATCAGGGTCACAGGGGTCAGAGGGGCATATACCTATAAATAATGTGTGTTTTTTTTTGTCCTAAAACTTTTCAACTTACCATCGTACAGCCTTAAGAGCCGTCTATATAAAAATAGAACTCAACTCAGACGTCTACGCACTACAGGTAGAGCTGCGGCTGCTGCATGTCAGGCCAGAAAACAGAAAATCAGGACGGGTAGAAAAAAAAACTGAGACCACATGAGTTTCATATATAAAGAAAGACAAGGAGAAAGTGTTTCTGAGGGGCCTTGAACTACTATAGTGAGAGAAAAATACTGCTTTTCTTTAGATTATTTCCAGATGACAGCTCTTCTAAAGTGGCAGCAAACATACGATACTTCTGCACTCTGCAGGCAGGAGTTGCTGAAGCTGACAGGCCGTCCCTCTGCCTTGAATTTCTCCCCCTACGCCCGTGTTTCCGTGTTCTGCAGGTGTTCAGAAGCCACGCTCTGTCGCTGTCTAATTACGCGTGTCGCTCTGGGAAAGAGCAGGGGGAGGGACGAGGGAGGGGGAAACCCCAGAGTGGAAGTAACAGCTGTCTTTTCCACTCTGCAAACTGCCACCGAGGGGGCGACAAGTGTTAGTGACAGAAGCGATGTCAACCGCCTTTTCATCCTCCACTGCAATTACAGTAAATGCAAGGGAGACAAGGGACTCGCTCACAAACGCTGCATCAATGTTTCCCTCCATGACTCGAGTCGTCTTGTCAACCTTGAGTCAAAAGTTTTCCAGATCAAAACAGTAGAAAATGGTGAGAAGAGACACAAAAAGGTTTCTAAAGAGGTTCTAAAATCAGGACATCATCAAGTCATTAATTAAAAGACTGAAGTTAATGGGCGGTGGTCTGATGGAGTGACGAAGTCCTGGATGGAATCAGTTTAAGTCCTGTGTGTATAATAGTAATAGTCAGGCTCTGTCATGGTTCGGGGCTGAATTTTGACATCATTGTAAATGTGGCCACAAGAATTCGTAGGTGGGACGCAGAAGCTCTCTTTCACATAGAAGAACATCTGATAAACCAGTGAAAATGATTATCAAATATTAAAGCAGAAGCTGGTAAATAAAACATGTCTGAGATGTTCATTTATTTAGTAATCTGTCAAGTCAGACATTAGATCTGTTTTTAATTCAACAGTCACCGAGGGATGATTCATTAACAGAGGCGACGTTGGTGTGTGTCTCCAGCTACGGCAGGATGTTCTATTTTATTTAAGCCACACAGTTGGCCCAGTTATTACACTTCTAACCAAAACTTTCTTCATCGGACGTTTGACTAATCTGCCTCCGGAGAATACCTCCCCCTGGGCTGTGTGGTGAAACAGCAGACGTATCCCTGCCGTAAAGTCAAACACGGATCCTGATGTGAGGAGGCAAAGTCGGGAGTGAGCTGATTTCATGAAGCAGGAGATGAAAGATGGAAGATGACAGCTACTGTCAGGCCACGGGAGAGTGGGAGTAATGCCAATTAGCTGCTAACTAGCAGTCCAACTCCCACTGAAGCTAACCTCCCAAGGTGGCGTCTCTTGGCTAATGTTGTGTACACAGGCACGTGTACACAACAACCAGAACAGACCTCCCAAAGCCCGACGGGCAACGAGAAAGAGAATGTAAATAGATGCAGGCCTGAGGGAATCATGGGAGTTCCATCCACATGACAATCTGTCAATTAGAAAAGGACACAGAAGAGGAGGACGAAAAATAATATGAGAATATTATTCCTTCTTCTTTCCCAGTCATTACCAGCACTGAAAATATAGATATGAATATTCAGCATTTGTTATTAATAAGAATAATAAGAATAAACATTAACATGTCAGTGGTTGTGACATTCGAAGCAGGAAGCAGACAGACAGGCAGCGGATTTGGTGATGCAAATATATTTCACAGTATTTACTCTGATGCTGAACATTTCATTTTCTCCAGCACAGAGACCATTATCTGCCGTAATGGACTGACTTATATCAACGCAGACAGAATCTCCACCGCAGCATTAACCCCAACGCACGTAAAATATATATAAATATATATATATATATAACCTCCACCATTAGCTGCTGTAAAATTGTGAGCCCTAACCGTGGTTGATGTTACGCTGTGAATTGGAACTTCTGCAGTTGCCTCCCTGGCGAGACCCCCTAAAGTACACAGACACGCCAGGACACTAATTACGAGGGCAAATAACAGTCTGCCGGGTCACTCCTAATCAAAGCAGCTTCTCCTTCCTGTCTGAAAATTAAAGATGAAGGTGCAGCTCTAACTAAGCCGTCAACACCTTCATCGCCTCTTCCTGCCTGCAGCCGTGGACACAGTACTCAATGACAACGAGACGAAGTGGACCCACAACAACGACTGTTGTCACACACATCGCACTGCAGTTTGTTCTAGCCAGTCACTGTGAGAGAGAGAGAGAGAGAGAGAGAGAGAGATTGGATTCTTAAGCCAGTCCCCTAAAAACTTATGTCACCCAAATAGCCTGGCAAACAAAGTTTAACTGCGTCACTGCCACCTAGCTGGCTGGAGTGGTTGCATCAGTGACACAGGTGGGAAAGAAATTGCGTTTAATTATCTTTTGGAATTAAAAAAAAAATCGATATAATGTTTGGCCACCTCTTACTGTCCAGTCTGACTAAGAATGTGTCATTTTCTCTACCTTTTGTCCTCTATAGAGAGTCAAGCAACACTTTGTGTCTTGAATTGAATTCTACCCCAGTCGACTATTGTTAGAGTTTGTTAAAGCGCTTGTTCAGCCTGGAATAAGGTTTGTGTTTCGTGACAGACACATCACGTTATCTCAGACACAGGGAGGTGCACGTGCTGCAAAGACGCTGCCAAGCCCTGAGGCTGATGTGACACTCTGCAGGATGAAGGCACAGCCTGAGTGTGTGTGTGTGTGTGTGTGTGTGTAGTGATGGAAAACTGTGTGCGAAGCAAAAGATTGGCCCGATAATCAGTTCCGCAGCAGAGAGAAACCAAAGGAAAGTGTTTGCCTTCGACAAGAATTCACGCTTCACATTCTCCTGAAAACAACTGATCCAGTCCAGACGTCCCACAGCATCATATAAAATGTATTTGGGTTGAAGTTTAGACACACAGCAGTGTGGTGTGGATTGAGTGCAGAGGCTTTTGCCTCCAGCTTGAGATACATGCAAAAAAAAAACCCAGAATAAAAAACAATTGTCCTACCCGTGCAGCTGCTTGACTGAAACTGAGATCTTCAGGTTGTGGCCCAGTGTGTGGAGAACTGTGAGTATGTCAGCCCATTGCACCATCTCCCCCAGAGGACCCCCCTTCAGCACCTTGGGACTGAAGACATCCCCCGACTCCTCCGTCAGAAAGCCCACATGGACAAGAATCTGGAATCAGATACAGGACGAATTTCACGAGCAGAAGAGAAGAGGAAAAACACACGGCAGCATAATTTACTGTGTGAGACTCTGCAGCAGAAACACAGAAAAGGCAGGTGTCAAAAAACTGAATGACAAAAATGAAATGAAAGAAAAAGAAAAGGCTTTTGGGAGAAAAAAAAATTAACTTCACATCAACTTGATCAGTGGTTCCCAAAGTGAGGGGCGCAGGTGAGGGGCAGCAGGTCAAATTATTTTAATTTTCCATAATGTTTTGTAACAGTGGGAATATTCAATGAAAATGTTGGCAGGGTATGTGTGTGAGAAAATGTGTGTGTGTGAGGGAGGACGAGGGAGGAGAGCGCTGCCTTAGAAAAGATAACATTTTTTCTTCACAACTTGAACAAAACAAAGAGTAAAAATCTATTTTTTTTTCTTCCCATCCCTGAAAATACTGAAAAATCCTTGGTTTAAAACATTTGAAGACACGTGATGTTTTATGAAATTTCTTTTCAGGTTGTCAATTCTTTGAAACCTGATTCACAGGTAAGCTAAATGATTCATCCCAACTTTTCAATTTTCTTGAAAAAAAAAAAAAAATACTGTATATAATCTTCCAGTTATTCTGATTCCAACATGAGCAGGAGCCAGTGTATTTTTTTTTTTTTACTCTATTTCTTCCACCGAGCTGCGGTGGGTTGTTGTTCTTCGTGAGGACGAAGCTCAGCTTGTAGTTATTTGTGTACTGTATACTTTTTGGAGGGAAGCAGAGCGAGAAGTGTCACATTTCAACACAGTTTCATACATCAAGATATATTTTTCCGTGTACATGCTTCTTCATCTCTGGAAATGAGCCAAGGTTCAGAACTGAAGCGGTGCTGTTCTTTACACATGAGGACCACAGGTGGAACTGATGCTGAACCACAGCGTCGGTTCTGCAGCTCAGTGAAACATGAAGACGAAGACTGTAGTCAGTGGGACTTTAGTCGGGCGTTGACTGAAAACCTCACAGGTCTTGAATTTGAAATATGCTCCGTTCAGAACCTCATTTGTTGGATTCATTAGCCCCCTGCCTCCCATCATGTAATGTGCAAAATTAAAGGGGAATGATTTGGTAGGTCATACCCTTCAAAAAGCACAGAGAATCTAAAAAAAAGTTGCTGAGTGTATCAGCTCTATAATGGATTTAGACTAAAACGTGTCTCTGAGGTCTAATAACTGAAGTGTACAAGTGTGTCCACCAGGCTGACACTGCGCTGGGGGTGCTGTGAATAATTTATGCAACATGAAATAAGGAATGTTAATTTGAAGGATGAAAAATGATTTTCAGGTGAAACTATTATAGGTTTGTCCTTTTTTTTTTTGTTGTCCTTTTGTTTTTGAAAAAAAAAAATCCATTAAAACCTGTCTTGACTTAATATCAATCTGAGAAAATGTCAGACGTTGCAGGCAATCAAAGCTCAAAATGAAGTTTCCCTCCATCAGCATTTATTCACCTTGGTAATTTTGCTCAACAACTGTCTTCAGTTCAGTTCAGTTCAGATGTGAAGAAACTAAAACGTGTCCAGCAGCTCTGACAAATTCAAACATTCCGTCTTTGTCGGTAGTTGAGCTGCGGTTTTATCTGATCAGAACAAACTTTCAACTTTAGACCTGTCAAACTGTGGACACTAAGAATTTCCAATACTACATAAACTCCAAAAGGGTATGGGCTGTGACTGTCCTCACAGTGTACTCTGAGATATATTTGGCTGAATAAGTATTTGGTATTTATTATATATTTTACAAACCAATACAAGTATGAGTATTTTCATTTGTCACCAGGCAGATACTGAGTACCAGTAGAGTACACTTCTGGTGTATGACATATTTGTGAGTCAAATACATTAGTAGTATTACTTTTTTAAATATTTACCCTTTTTTGATCTCTCCAATGGTTGCGTAGTTTGTCGTCCAATCGCCGAGCAGCCGACGCCCACTGGGCCGCCATCCTGCGTATTCGCCTCTTCATGAAGCTCAGTGACTCCTTCCCGGCGCCCACTTTCTCCAGCAGAGAGCCCACGTCAGACTGGAAAAAAGCCTGAAAAAAAAAAACCCAAAACAATTCATTAAAGTAGTTTTAGTTTTCAAATCAGTTTGTCTGTAGTCGATGTAAAACAGAGAGGGAAATTAAAGGGGCGTGGACGCTGAAGCACTCACCACAAAGTGGAATTATTTTAACTGGTGGTAAAAGATGTTGAAAGCAACTTGAAAGTTTGTTCTGTTGCAGTTTGAGGGATTCCTGAATCGTCCTCATAAATAATGGGTTCACATCTCCTCCTCTGCCTCACCACCATCCTGGATTCACAGTCAAATATCAGCACGCTAGTATTGATCACTGCACTAACAAGACGGGACCACCCAGGGCTGGGGTCTTTGTCTGCATTTTTTTTCTTTCCTCCACACCATCTCCTGCACAATCCTGTCAAACGCTCGATGGCGGCGCCGCCTTCATCAGAGCGAGGCTGTACTTAACCAAATGATTTTGCCAAATGTGATGACGTTGCTTTTCCACTCCACATTCATCAAACCGCGCTGTGTCCATCTCCTCCGTGCTGTTATTGCTAAAACAAAGAGCAAAGTGTCTGCAGCACATTGTTTACTCTGCAGAGGAGATAATCAGCTGCAATCTGCCGCCTCTCTACGACCCGCACACCTCCAGGACGCTGCAAAGTGCAGCTGAGATTGCTTCTGACCCCCGTCACCCAGGACACAAACTATTTACAACACTTCCATTTGGACAAAATCTCACAAAACTTAAGCTTCACTGAAAGGCCAGTGGCACAACACGAGCTCCGATCCACCTCCTGGTCTCTCTGTGCATCACATTAATGGTTCTCTCACACTGTTCAACCTGTTCTGTGAACAAGGAAGAAATAAAAATTAAAAGAGTTTTTAGATTAGACTGCTGAGTCGGTGCTCATGAGATTATTTATTCATCATCATTATTATTATTATTTGAAATCATTTTCATGAAGTCTTTTATGTTTGCTCATATTTGGTTGACTTGGGCAATGCACGCTGGACAACGACGCTGTCCATGGTGCTGACTTCATTTCTCCACTGCACTTTGGAATCACTCGGATTGTACAAATATTTGACATTTAAATTCATTAGTACTAAAAAAATTTGAAATATTTTTATCATCACTTAATTTTTAATAATATTTCAGTCTGTTTTTTTCTGACATTTTCATCATTCATTTGTATCTATTGAAGTCTGAAGTTTGCGTACTACGTACTTAGCTGTGAACTATTTGCCTCCTTTGACTGTGATTTATCTTTTCAAAAATGAATCAAAAATAATAACAGAATTATCCCTTGCAGCAAAGAAACCCACTTCCTCTGGGGAAAAAAAAAATCAATCCACAGAGCTGCACTATAGTTGCACAGCGCCGGTGAATTATTGCTCTCAGACACCGTGTGCACGGCACAGCCAAAAGCAGTGTCACCAGGAAAAGCCCTGGGATCAGTACAGTACGGCTGGATACAGGCCCACAATTAAAGATTAAAGCGGAGCTGCAGAACAAATTTACATCAGGGCTGCTGGTGCCGGTTGCACAGGACTCTGGGGGAAAATAGGATGAAAGCGACAGAGGGAAACCTCTGGAGTTGGACCTTGAGGAGCAATTATGGCTGCAATTCATAAATTCAAGATGGAAATAATAATTAAATGATGCAGAAGAGGAACGGCAGTGAAATCTGATCACGACAGCACGGGCCTGCAGCGAGACGACGCGCAGCTGATTTTCATAGAAATTCACTGTGATTCTTCCCTCACGCTGTGCCTGAGTCACAAAGTGACATGAATTATTTTCACAACATTTTTATTTCTTTTCAATTTTTCCCGAGGTGTTGGATAAAATGGTGCAGCCCACGGGTAAAAGTCTTTTATTTTGGTTGTGGGTCACTCAAAAAAAACACTCTTAGAGTCAAAAAAAAAACACTGGTCCAAGTTCACATTGATTCCTTCATTCATCTACAGGTGCAGCTGGAGTTGATCCCAGTCATCAACGCCAAGAACCATTCACCAAACCATCAAAGGTAAAAAAAGCAAAAGAAAAAAAAAAGCCACTCACACAGTTATACCGAGGGAAAATTAAGAGTGTCTAATTAAGCTACTCCAAAAGCTGCAGGTTTTTAGACTGTAAAAACCAGAGCACCTGGAGACAACATGCTAACTCCATGCAGAAAGACTGGGAATTGAACCCTGCTCTAGGACAAGAGCGCTACCACTCCATCCACCGTGTGGCCCGCCAGCTTTTCTATATAAACACAAATTATTTTATCTGTTTACCTGTTTTTTAGGAGGAGGCTTCAGGGTGGGGGTTGCAGTTTGGTTCCTCCAGGCCAGCGGGGGGCAGAACCATTCAACTTCACTCAGGTATATAAGGAAGGAGCAGTCGGAGCCATCCACACCGTAGAAGCCGTAGCAAGGGTCGGAGGTCCAACGAGCGCGCATCCACTGTAGGCGACACATTCAAACTGTAGTCAATGTGACGGGAACTGTTTTTGGTTCCTTTTCTTCAGGTCCATCGGTTCTACACCGGGTTTAAACATGTCTTTGTCGGTTCAATACTTTCCCTGTCCTTCTTACCATAATCAGGTTTGTAAAATTTTGATTAGTTACCGTGAGACAGTGTTTTTCAACCTTGGGGTCAAAACCCCACGTGGGGTCGCAGGGAATTCAACCAATCAAAGGATTTTCTGTCCTTTTGTCTTAAAATAACTCCATTACCACATGAAAAACAATCTTAAAAATGCTGAGATTGTAATTCCCTGCAGTGATTTCCAATATAACAAGCTTATTATCACACCACCGTTTAAGGCAGAGGAAAAACGAAACATAAATCTTGTAATCGTCCTTTTATCCAATTGAACGTTTATGAGGCACCAAGGAGAGGACACAGGGATTTGTTTTGATATGTGTGCGAAATTGTTGCGACTTAAGTGAGATATGAACACTTACATCCATCTTACTGGAGCAGTCGGGATAACGGGGATCTTTGGGAATCTCACACTGTCCATACGCTCCTTCCTTGACTGGACAGAAAAAAAATATGGTGCATTTTTCAGAGCGATAAACACATTTACACACGTAGCCCCTTAACTTAACCTCAACCATTGCAGACATATGACTAAAGTTCATTCTTAAATGAAGATTCTAGATTTTGTCAGTTAAAATAAACAACTAGCGGTGAAATGGTGAGTCATTAAAATTATACAACGTGTTTAAGGTCGCTGCACAGTTTATAATCACAATGTGTATAATAAACAGTGACAACCGCGTGTAAAAGATTCTACCAACAGGTTGAAACTGCAGAAATACAGCAGCAAAGAGTTGGAAACAAAAACAAATAAATAATACATAACAGGTTGGAGTTCAAAGTCTTCATAACAGCTGTGTGTGAACATGCTGGCTGTGGTAAACGCTAAGGTCATAAAAGATCCTGTGAAAGTGTTTCATCTGCAGAGCTGTGTGTGTCAAACCTGAACTCTAATCTGACTTTAAAATGAATCTTCAAATTAAAACTTGAAACAAAAAAAACCCGTTCAAATAGAGAAGAGCCGCAAAACTCCTTAGAAAAGTACCAAGTACTTTCCCAAAATGTACCCCACTCCCAAGTGTGACTATACCTGATAAACACACACACACACACACTGGGCTCCTCCCACTTCGTACAGTGCTGTTTCATCTTCTGCTACATCTTTATTCATGATCAATAATCTTGACAATCGTAAATTATAGATCAAAATATCAGCCTTCAAATTAGTCTGGAGAATAACGGCGTCGCATCGATCCCTCTGGTCTTCACACTGGTTGCCGCGTCCTTTTGCCTCTGGGACACGGAGGAATCATTACTGTAACCTGGCTAACAAGCTTTTAGAAAACTCTGCGGCTCCACTGCTGAACTGCCGCCTCTTCTCCGAGCCATCGGCTGTATTTACATAAGATCAACTGCATTAGTGTGTGATTCATAAAAATCACAACAACAATCTTCATGTCCTGCTGCTTCGATGACGCTCTCCTTCCTTTATTTCATTTTATTTTATTTTTTTCTTCCACTCGCCTCCTCCTTTGCTCTCCCCTTGTTTCCACCCCTTGAGCTCAGCACTTGTGAGCCTAATTAAAGGAGTGGTTGCAGCATCTCCGGCAGCATCCTGCTCTCCACGGAAGAGCACACTCCCAGACAAATAATTGCTACCCATTCTGTCTGATTAGCATGATAACACCAGACCTCTCACTGCGAAGAGTGCCGCTGCCTGCCAAAGTCAAAACGGAGCGAGATTCTGAGCGGCCTAATTTAAAGGATTTCACACGTAGTGACAACACACACACACACACACACACGCACATTATCCTCTGCATTTAATGAGACATGACTCACATGACTTTCAGTCAAGGGAGGCAGCGAGTCGTAAATTAAAACACGGAGTCTGAAGTGAACCGCGCCTCTCAGGAGGCAAACAAGAGAATAAAGGTTGATGAAAAAAAAAAAAAAAATTAAAAAGGCTGGCAGACTCAGTGCAGGTCGTATAACCTGGCTGTAATTCATCACTGTGACTTTAACATTCAGCAGTCATGTGCTCATGATGAGCAGAGCACCGTGCTATGATGCACAACCTGTCACACAACACCGGGCTGGAATTTGGACATAAAACGTGGCGTGAATAACTCCCGTCACCTTCTTTACGATTTTCCAGCAAAGTGAATGTTAAACAAGTGGAGGGGAATGTTCCAGAGGGAGAACGCTGAGGACGGAGTTCTCCAGGTGTGTGAAACGACATCATGTGTCTGTGTGTGTGTGTGTCTGTGTGTGTGTGTCGTACCTCTGTTATTGGCCATGCTGCGTTGTAGGATCTGCTCCACCCTCACGGCGATGTCAGACATGTTCTGGGCTATGGCTTGGATGCGCTCCACCAGCCCTACAGGCTGAATCCTGACACACACACACACACAAACACATGGGCAGAAACACACAAATGGAAGATGTGAAAATCTAAAAACAAAGGGTCGAAAAGTTGACCAGACGAATCAGTCAACAGCCATCGAGCGTGGCAGAATTAACAGTGACGGTAGATTTGGTTTACGCCGCTGTTTGTTTACCAGCTGCAGCAGTGATGTGATCTCAGAGCTGTGGAGGAAATGCTAATTGTCTAGAAGTTGAAGCGTGAAATGGAAAAAAAGCTTTTAAACATCCACACATAATTTATTTGTTGGTGTAAAGATGTGACTCGGCTCGGTATTAAAAGGCCCGTCCTTGGAGGAAAGAACATTAAACTGTTAGCAAATGTGTTTTGTCAACAAAACAGAAGCCGTATTTGCATCACAGACTTACAGTGAAGGCCTCCGTCTGTTATTAAAGGGTGAAAGTGGACAAAATAGATTGAACACAGCAGTGGTTCCCAAACTTTTCACATCACAAATTTCTGGCGACCCCAGAGACTCAGATACATACATTTGATTTGAACTCAATTTATATTCACAGAAGTGAAAGAATACGGTTGTTTACGATCATGTCCGGGTGGTGCTTTTAATCACAATTTCAAGAAGAGGAAGAATTAGTTGAAAACATTTTTTTTTTATCAATTACTAGTCATCTCAGGCAACTCCAGGCGACCCCATGTAAGGTCCCGAACCGAGGGTTGAAAAACACAGGTGTTCAAAAAGAAGAGCAGCTTCTGAAGCACAGCTTTGAGTCTGGTTTTAACCGGAGTTCAAACACTTGTAAGACTCTGCTGCTTTAATTAGAAAAAACTAGTGGCAGAGAAATGTCTGTGCGAGGACAATAAACCAAAGAAAGTAAATATGTGAAGACATCATTTGAAAAGTAAACTTTCTGAGCAGCAATATATGAATAATTCATCGACCAACTATTTAAGGCCCAGTCAAAGTGACTTAGTTATTCTTTAAAAAGCTTTATGCTAATCCAACAACAACAACTGTAAAATAAATGGTGTAGTGTATATAAAACTCAGAGGCCGCTCCAAGACTACTGTGGAAGTACAGTATCAAAGAGGGAAAAAAAAGACGAGACCAAAGGAAGAACTAAAGAGCAAAGAAGAAAAGGAAGAAGAGGTAGAAGCAGAAAAAAGGGAAATTGGGGAAGAAGAAAAGGATGAGGTGGAAATGGAAAAAAAACAAGTAGAAAAGTAACAAGAAGAAAAAGAGGCAGAATAAGAAGTGAAGGACAAAGAAAAAGAAGAGGAAAATAAGGAGAAGAGAGAAGAAGAAGAGGAAGACAATGGAACAGTTTTATAGAAAAATGTCAAAGGTGAAAAAAACAATGAGACTGAAACAAACAATTAAATTAACTAAACCAAGGTTCATCTGCTTCACTGAAGTTAATTAAAAATCTGTTTTTGTTTCAGAGATTAAAATAAAAACTTGGCCAGTTGACCTTCATGTTCGTCATCGGTGTAGTTTGTGTTATATGAATATTATATTACATTAAAACTAAACAGAATTTTTTGGCCTTTAAAAGGGCACGCTAGAAGAGACCAAAATAAAGCCCAAGCTTTTGGAAAAAAAAATATATGTATATATGAAAAATAAATATTTGATGTAGACCTTGGTTTAGGGATGTGGTCTTGACACAAACTGAATTCCGCCCGACGACAGCTTTGTGTGGTTTGGCCTGTATTCAGCTACAAAGTTGGTTTTTCATCAGAAAAATCACATCACTGATTCAGGTTTCAACAGAAAGGCCTGAACAACGGGTGTGGGGTTTTGTTTCTCTCGTATTTTCTCACTGTACTTTACACAACCTCAGCCACATCATCTTTGTCTAAAGTCTGACATTTAAGAGCAAACGTTGACTAATTAACCTCAGACTGTTGTTCCACTGTGGTACGGCAGCTGGGCTCTGTCTGGGTGGTGATAAAACCCACAGAGCTGCCGCTGTGGCCTGTGTTTTACACAGGAACAAACACTAAAATCATACGCTGTAACCAGATCTCTCTTTTATGCCGTATCATTATTAAAATTTATTTTGTCGCTCGTTAAAAAACTCTGAATATGTAAAACTCAGGAAGTACAACGGTGACTCTGGGCCAGATGATGATCAAGCAGTAAAAAAAAGTTAAATTCAATGAGGAGATTTCCCTCAGGGACTTTAATACTGCTGTGATTGATGCATAAAATCACAAATTCCAAAATCCTCGCCCTGAAATTTCCCAGAGGGGGTAAAAGATTTTCAGATGTAGTAAATATTCAGCGAGTAAATGAATGTAATAAAAGCTGAAATAATCAACATCTGCTGTAATAACGGTCGGCTCTGGTTATCGTAAAATAATAATATTGTGAGTGTTTAAATTTTTTATTTCCTTGTATGTGATGAAGTGTAAATTTGGAAAATTAGAAACAAGTTCAAGAAAAAAAGAAAGAATAAAGAGATGGTGTTCTTTTATCATTGGGAGGGAAAGAAGGAGGGAGGGATGGGAGGAAGAAAAGAAAGAAGGATGGAAGGAAAGAAGCAAGGAAGTAATGAAGGAAGAAAGGAAGCAAAGGAAAGAAGGACAGAGGTAAGTAAGTAATGAAGGAAAATGAAAGGATAAATCAGACAAACAAATGAATTAATAATTTAAGAAGAATGGATAAATAAAAAACCCAGTTGTAAAAGTGAAGTAAAGAAAGTCCTCAGTAACTTTGGTTTTGGTTCAAAGCGTTTCACAGTATCATATGTGGGAAGTTCAAGGATTCTAGCTCGCAAAGTGCTGAAGGTGATGGTCAAAAACCTTAGAAATGGAATAGTTGTGGGGATGAGGATAAGTCTGTTGCCATGGAAACCACAGACCGTCCATAAATCTCAGCAGGCGGTTTCAACCTGTCGGACAGGACCCCGGCTTCCTCTCCTCTTTGTCTTAAAAGTGACTCTTGTTTCTCCATCTGGCCACAAGAAACCAGCGGAGTTTGTTTTGACGCAGGGCGTTCCTGCCACGGGGCAGCTTTCACAGCGCACGGCTGCTCTTTTGGAATGCCCCAGGGCGACGAGCTTGGCCTTCTGCTTTTTTCCACACACTGCTTCTCTTACGGCCATTTTCTCATCTGTTCTTTTCTCATCTTATCTCTTCTTGGCCTGAAGAAGTAGATGCAATAAGCTGCAGACCACCTGATGCTTCCTCTCCACAGCCCCCGGCTACTTAAACTGCCCAAAATACTTTCAGTATCCAATCGTACAACTCCTCAGTATTGTTAACCTTACAATCACAGAAAGCCAACAATTATGGGTTTTTTTTCCTAATGATAAGAAGAAAATCTGATCTCTATACAGAATGAGGTATTTTTAAGTTTATCACAGTGTTTTTTTTCCCACCAGATGAAGTGTCGTGTCATTTCCAATAATATATTTTGATACTTCCTTTTTGGCTGTTTTTGCTGTAAACAACCTGTAGTTTAATGACCGCGGAGCCACTTCACTGTACATTTGTGGACAAAGTCTCGTCCTCTCCACTGTATAAGCACCTCTTCTCTGTCACTGTGCAGCAGTTAATAGACGTTTAACTTGGAGCTCAGACACAAAGCTCAGGTAGAAAAAGAAAAAAAAAGATTTTTTTTAGTAATTGTTATGTTCGACCTTCACTGCTGCGTTTTGAGTTCAGAGCCAGAGAAGCGGTGATTGCGAGGACCAACAACGTCACAATGCAGCATTTGATGAGTCGAACAGTTACAGAACAAAATGTTCTACATGTGACTTTAAAGGAGTAGTACGCTGTGCCGTGAGACACCACCAGGGGTGACGTGGAAAATGATCCGATTTCACCTAATCGGTCTGAAAAGCAACATTTATTTACTGCAACTTTCTTCAATTCCTGTGAGTATATTGAGCTTGTGTTCAAATAAATGGAAAATTGGGAGTAAATTGAAACTAGAAGAAGAGTACAATTTATTATGTATACTTTTGGGAAATCTTAGTTTAGTGGTGCGCTCTAGGTTGGGAAACACTAATATATAGAAATTTAATATCACTCAAACGTAGTCAATCCAAAATAATTTAAGTAAAGAAGTTCATTCTTTTTTTTTTTAGTCCCATGCTTATTTACAAAATACACACACGCCTCCAAATATGTTTTCATTCAATCTCTCTGGATGCGCCGGTGCCGTACCTGTCCAGTGCTGAGCTGAGCTCGTCCAGTCTGTGGGAATCTGTGGCGTTTTCCAGCTTGGACAGTGTGTCCATCTTCTTCATGATGACCTCCAGCATGTCACTGATCTTCCTCAGCACCCCTCGAGACTCTTGACCGCCGAGCACTAAAAACACAGCACACATGAAGAAGAGGTACCGTATTAGATCTGTGTGAGAAGAAGAGGTACCGTATTAGATCTGTGAATCACCTTAAATCACCAAAATAAATCAGTGGTGAAGGAAAGAGGAGAAGAGCAGAGGAGCAGGGAGTAGGAGATAAATTAAGCTAATGAGTGAGTTAATAAATCTGACACATATATGGCACAGTTCTGCGTATAGTCATTTTAAATGATGACACCGCCGTTATATAATGAACACACAAAGTCACAGGAGCAAACATTTTAATAAACCTTTCCCCAGTGATTTATGGAGCTGGGAGTTTAATTGCACCGACATAAAAAAAGAACCAGAGTCACATTTTAAACCTATTTAATTTTATGCATCATTTTACTGTTGGTTTACTTTAAAACATCCTCTCAGTCTAGTTTCCATCTTTTTTTTCCACACTTCATTATCAAATCAGCAGCTCTCCAAGAACCAGGTCTGTTCCAAAACACCGGCGCTTCAATAACTGTTTTATATTTTCGTTGTCAGACTGTGAGATTAGGTTTCGTCTTCTAATTATTAACGACCCAGCTGGGAGTAAGCTGAGAAGACGCTGTTGGAGAACACCTGGTTAATTAATGAGCCTTCAGTCGGAGACAATCAGGTCAGAGCAGGTCTGTCCTGTCAAGGTCCGCAGACTTCTCCGCCCTCATTTATCACGACTAAAGGTGTAGTCTGTCATATTTACTCTCAGTTACTCCAGTGCATCATGATATACAGTCCATTGACAAGAATCCTAGGTGCCATTTGAGGTCCTTCAAGGACATTTCATCTACCTTCACCAAGCTTCTGAAGTTCTAACTGACAACTGGAACAACCCCAGCATTGAACACCTGAGGGCAGCACACCTTGGACCAGGTGTGAATGCTGGTCTGATGAAATCCATAAAGCAGTCTGGCTGTCACCTTGTGCAGACCCTCTCCCCCACGTCACTGCTTAAAAGTCATTTTTCATACTAAAAGAATTCTAATAATTCACTTGGAAATGAAATAAGGAGAAATGAGCGACTCTCATTTCTCTGGCTGTGGGTGCATTTGTTAACAGGTTTGAAAGAAATGGAGTAGAAGCAGTCAGGAAGAAAAACATCTCTGCAGAAAGGGGAAGGAAATGCAGCGGTACACTGGAGCTTAAAAGTGACTTATATTATGGAAAGCACAAACACTCCCCTGCATCTATTTCCTTTTATTGCCTGCAGAGACCCCGCTCCCCTCCCCCCAGATCCCCCTCTGTCTCTCAGCGCTTCCACAATATCTCCACTCAAATTGTCCAGGATATGAATAATTTGACGATATAACAAAAGGTAAAACGTAAAAGAGTCAAGAAGACAAAAAAGACTGAAGAAAAAGACGGAGGAATCACCATTAACCTTTTTTGTTTTTACTACAAATTTGTAAGCAGCAATGACACAGGATTGTTAAGGTAAATGAAATGCAAAATAAAATCTAAGGGCGTGAATTCTACGCTCTGCAGATTTCCAAACCAAATTCGCATTCGGCCAAACAACTGGTGCGGTTCCTCCGGTTTCCCTTTTTTCCACAAATTCGTGTGGAAGGAAATAAGTCCACCGAGGGGAGAACTGAATATTTGCTCTTTATCTGCAGTAAATCTAAACAAAGCCTCTGGGCCAGCGTGTGGAGCGAAGTCCCATTTATCCAGGGTAATGCTGGGCGTACACACTGTGCTGCTAAATCACCATTACCACGAGCCAACATCCTTCCTACACAGCGGCATTTTTAGAACACAGCCTTTTAGCACATTTGTTTACACTGTTCTTCAGACGCTGCCGCCGCTGCTTCACCCTCGCCTCCTGGAAGACGAATGGCTAATGGACGGTCCAGAGTGTGGACGTTAGTGTAGCAGCAGTTGATAGTATCCGTGAGCAAATGTTGAGCGCCCCCTCCGTGTCATTTCTCAACCCCTGCTTAATAAAGGGCCAATTTAGCCGCAGCTAATCTCATTTAATGACTCCATTTTGGAAGTGTCAGCATCCAATCGATATTTTGAACAAATTCCAATTAAATCACCATTTGTACTGTAGCCTGCTGTGTCCACAGTGGGGACGCCGGCCGGCCCACGTTTGATCGCTGCCCACAGAGAGTCACTGGCTGCTTGCAGGAAGTTCCAAATAAAAATGGAGGCTGGAAATTAAAGTTCACTGCAGTTCATAGTCCTATAGTTCAACAAACTGTAAATAAATAAATAATAAAGACAAGTTATGCATATAGAATGACTATTTGTATATAAAATATTATATTCTATATAAAATTTCCCTTTAAAATAAAATTATATATAAATATATCAGAAAAATAAATAAATGGTCTCGAGTTACACAATAGTGGAACCAATGTTCAGATGTTTAAAAAAACTTTTACCACTAACTTCAAAAATGAAGTTCATTAAAACTTCGCCACAGTGTACCACAGAAGTGGAGTCAGGGAAGACTCGGCAACAACGGACAGATTTACTCCGGCTTCAAAAGTTCCCTCATGAACCCGGTTGGTGGAAGAGTTCCAGCTTCAGGCTCTTCCACAGACTGTGGATCTGAGCCAATTATCTGTTAGTGTGTCCAGGATGTGAACAGCTGTGAGTGTATGAATCCCCGCTGCCAGAGGTGGCATTGGTTTTATCGACTGCACTGAGCTTCATTTAGATTCAGCCTCTCTGCACTGAATTCATACATCACAGACTTACCGCTTTAGTATGTTTCATTAATGCCCTGAGGCCACTTCCCGACCACTGAGACGTACGGTTTAAAAAAAAAAAAAAAAAATGTGAGGAACTGTCTGTGGATACAGCTGTAGTCCAACTTCATGAAGGTCGTTATGGCGAGAACACGCCTTTATTCAGACCAGTAATCTAATCTGAGCATCTTCATACGCCACATAAAGCAGCTCTGATACATCACGCCGTCCACACTTTGCACCAGGGCTAATTTTGGTTGGTCAAACACGCGGCCCTGAGGGGGCTTTAAAAAATGCAACAGTGAGTCTCGGTGCCAAGACAAGAGTGTAAATTTGAAAACGGTTCTAACATTATCTCAGGGAAAGTCTCCGAGTGCAGAGTCTCACCGCAGTGAGCTGCGAGCGCCTGTAGTCAAAGTGAAGATGTGACACATTAAGGCCAGTCGGAGGCGAAACAACACCAAGGCTTCACTAAATGATGCAGTGCCGTAACCGTCAAGCAGTCAGTAATAATAGAAGATTACGCAGATCAATAAAGGTCTAACACCTCGTTAGTATTTTCTGATCCACTCACCTGAATAAACAGAGCAATTCGAGGATTATTAGGATTTGTCATGACATAAAACGGGAATTTTAAACCTGATTATTGTCCTTTAGTTTTCACAACTGGGAAACAGCAGTTGTTTGTCATCATCAGTGAAATGCCACAGAAGATTATGTTAGCTTTTTAGGTAAACACGCAGGATAAGGTCACACTGTAAACAGAAATCTCTGCATAAAAACAGGAGATTTTTTTTTAACAGAAATCTCTGCATAAAAACAGGAGGAGATTTTTTTTCCCTTGCTCAAATATTTTGGATCATTCTAAGAATATATTTTTTAAACATACATATAACTATAACAAATATAATATTTCAACTTATTCTTTACTTTTATTTATCGTTGATTTGTGTTGTAGCAGTGAAAATCTTCAGTCATTTATTCTGTTTAGACTTTAAGTATTCTCCATGTCCAAATGGATATTTATTTGCAGAGTTTTATTCTTATTGAGCTCATTTCCTCTTAGATGATTTTTATGGCTAACCTTTAGCTGTTTATCCATATTCTCTGTAATACACTAACACTACTTCTTTTGATAGCCTTCTGAATAAACTGAGTGAAATTATTCTAAGGTACATTTTATTATCCTTGTCTTTTATAAACATCTTGTTGAAGAGCATACACTTAGAATTGGTATATTTTTAAGTTCACTTAATTAAAGGCACTTGTGACCTACTGTTTACAGTTTGTGAATAATTTATAATTACTTTCTGGCTTAATTTAAGCTACAGTATTATTGAACCTCTAGATAATGATTTTTGCGAACCTTGAGTTTTTTTTTTTTTAGGTTAGATTTTCGTTGGCTTTATTTCTCTCTGATACTAGACTACATTTGGTAAAACTAATCGTTTTCAGCTAAGGGCTTTCTGTGTATTTTTTAACGTACAAAGACATAATTCTGAGCCAGAACCAGATGTCAGATGACAGTAGTAGTCAAACATTGTTTGAATTTTTACTTAGATTTGAAAAAGTCAAACCTTTGTGTTTTTCTTGTTATTGTCAATTTTTGTTAATTGGAAAAAAACAAAAACAACAGGCTTCATAAACATCTTGTGAAAAATGACTCTGCATCGTACACAACAGCCAAAACTATTGATCAGTTCACTGTCACCCTTGATTTATAGGCGGCGTTTTCTGCTCTGCCCCTTCAGCACCTAAAAAAGCAAAAATAAATCCATCCCGTCACTTTTTGATATGCATACCGGCCGGCTAGTTTTCTTAGATACAGAGCTGGGGTCAGACCTTTAAATCTCACCTGCCTCAAGGATTAATTCACAGCCCCCCCCTTTCCCCACCCTTTTGCTCTGACCACTTTCACACATACATGCACACACACACACACACACACACACAGCTCTTCCTTTCTTTTCCTCTTGCTTCCAATTCAAATATTCATTACAGAAAAGTAATTGGGATTGAGTTTCTCTCTTTTCTTTTGGCACCTTTGGATTTGCTGCCAGATCCTGGAGCTATTAGAGCAGAAAACCACACTGACTTTTCCTGTGTGTAGCTCCAGCCCCTCATTGTGTCTGGCAGCATGGGGAAATGGGAACTACCTGCACTATTAAAAGGCTGGGAAAAGAAAATGGCTTTCTGTAACTGTGACTGAAGCCTGAATGAATTTCCTCTCTGCTCACTGTGAAAACATTGACTGATGCTTTATTAGTTTCTTTAAACCA